ATGTGGCCCGCGGGCCTTGAGTTTGACTCATGTGCCCTATGGCAAGCAGTTTTCTGCATGGTCAGCATTGAAGGCCATATTGTTTTTGAGAGGGTCCAGCCAACATTCCAGACAGGACAGTGTTTTCCATCTTCTACATCTTCAACCTCCAGTATCAACATGAGGCAGCCAAGACTCTGGAGTTCATTCAACGGTAAAACCATTCCTATAATTTTTTTTACAATGAGCAAAATACAATGACATGGTTTTAAAGCAAGTTATGATTAACATTTGACAAAGTTGGTGATGTTTTCTCTTTACATAATTAAAAACAGCTTTATATATTGTATCAGCTGTCTTCAGGATGCCACACTATTTATATTCTCAGGAATTTTCTCATTTTTGATTATGTTTTTTAGTCGCTTCATTGGTATTAGCGACTATCTAACAAAGTCGCTGAGCGGCTGAGTAGGGGAGTGGTTGTTGACGCGCAAGCTGATCAAAACGTAAATCCAAGCTGCAGCTGCAATGATTTTATTGTCAATATCCAAAGGCAAACAGTGTTCAGCATAAAAACGGATCTGTAGAATTAAACAGTGATCAAAGACAAAACATAGCGGTCAGCAAAAAGTCTCCCCCATCACCCACTCACTGAAGTCACCAGGTGAGCAACAGGTGATCTACAATCACTAATAACACCACGTGATCTCACATTATCCCTATCCACAACAATTGGGATTAACCCAGAAAGGGGCACAAAAGCCGGTCATGGGAAGATGGTATCCAAAAAGACAGGAAAGATCATGCAAAAGAAAAAGCAGACCGTGAATGTGCAGGTTTCCACCCTCATCAACAACCTGATGGACTTTGAGTGGGATCGCATTCAGGTTAGGTATTACTATTCTATTGACTGTACTTTAAAAAGTAGCATTAGAGTTTTATTTGCAGCAGCTTACTCAGTGAATACAATTGTAAAACTACATTTACAGTAAAAATACTGGAACCTACAGATGCCAGTATTTGAAAGTATATTTAATTTCGGCACTGTATTTTACGGTGGCCGACAGGTACAAACACCCGGCAAACACGAGAAAAACAAATGCAACAAAGAAGAAATGCAAAGAGCTGGCTGTTAATACAGCGGGAGCAGACATCTCCGAAAAGGTTGGGGCAATATTACACTTAGGTGATGCACTGATGAACCGAGCAGAAATGTGAGATTATACATCTACATTCTCGTCTACAAACATTGTTTAAATCATGTCGTGTCATGGTTGCTAAGCAACATAACGCCGAGGTGGAGGCTAGGTAGCTAGCTGAAGGCTACAGCTTCTCTGCAATGCTCTTTGCCTTCGCAGGACCCCTCTTCCGTAGACCGGGTCGTTTCTCAAGCCCATGAAAGAATAAGCTTGAAAGGATGAAAGACCCTGAACTCGGACACAAAGCTCTAGTGGACTGCAACACTTCCGTTTTCAGTTTTTATTTTTATCTTTTTTTTGCATCTCTTTTTTGTTTGCGTCTTTTCTTTGTTGTATTTGTTTTTCTCGTGTTTGCTGCGCATTTGCACCTGTCGGCCACCGTACTATATTAACGATTCTGTGTTTTAGTTCTGCTGGGCTCCATATGGTTATGTGTATTTGTTATAAGTTGCATTGTGATCAGTTATGTGTATAGTGTTATGGGGTTCCCCTGTCTGACTGCTGACTCCGACTCACATGTGATGGACCTGTCATATGGGCGAGGGATCAGGACCGATGCTGACAGAACACCGGAAGAGCGGAGAGTTCAGTGTGTTAGCAGTGAAGCTATTCAGTTGAGTGTAACGATTTGTTAAAGGGCCGAGCTGCAGCCTAAGGAATAGCAGCTCGCTCTTATTTCTAATAAATCCTGTTGACGGTACCACATCTGCGGTGTGTTGGCGTCATTACAGTATTTGCTTACAGTAAACCACTTTAAAACGTAATTACAGGATTGAAAAGGTAAATTTCTAGTAAAAAACTGGTATCTATAGATGCCAGTTTTTTAACCGTTTTTCTGAAAGAACTGTAAAAAAAAAAAAAAAAAAAAAAAAAGGCGCCTGTAGCCACCATCTTATTTTTTATTTTTTTTTTTTACTGTTCTTTCGTTCTTTCAGAAAAACAGTAGATTACCGTTCTTTCAAAAAACGGTAAAATACAGGGTCTATACCCTGAGGGAGACCATCTCTCCTTGGACAGACAAGCTGACAGAGGCTTGACCTGAGGAACTCATACTCTCTCCTCCTTCCTGGAGCAAAGGAGGGAGCTGGACTGGGGGGGAGAGAGGCAAGACCACTGTTCCCCGAGACGGATTAAGGAGAACCAGCCACGTTTGAAGCCAGTCAGTTTTATAAAACTCAAGGCCCTTGACTATCTTATGAGAGACTTAGAGACTGGATGTTCTTCAAACCTGAAAATCACACAAAAATAATTCTGCTGTGTATGTCCCTTTAGCCCGGGCCCGCGGCTTATTATTGGTGTTTTTATTTTATTTTGTTCTACTATATTTTTCTTATCTTATTTTCTTACTTTTGTTTGCAGCAAGGTGGGACTGAATGGGGGGAGGGGGTAGAAAAATACCGCATTTGCTGTTATTTGCTATTATTATTAATTGACAACCTGTTCTTGCTGATTGATTAGATAAAAAAAAATAGAAAAAGAAAAAAAGAGGAAGAGCCAGCCCAAGGCGCAGGAGAAAGAAGACAACATGAATCTGGACAAGATTTAGAGTATAGAAACTCCACTGCATGGGGCACTTTGAGGTGGGGCAGAACAAACAAAATTAGCTTAAGCTTTGCTTTCTAGGAGTTTCCTCTTTATAAATAACCATCACTCCTTTTTTACTATTTTCTCTCTTAGACAGTAATAAAAGAGAAAAACAAACAAAAAAGGAAACCTCAAGCCTTTATATATATATATATATTGAAGCCATAATTAACATTGAAATTTTTACTCACTTTAGCCGGTTTTGCTTATTGTTTTGTTCCCTTTTTTACCCTTTTTATTTTTGCATACTTAATTATTTTTACTCTTAGCATACACATTAGCTTAGCTTCGAAGGACCGAACAGAGGGGTGGACAACACTAGAGCGGGCAGATACCAGAGATATGGCGTTCCTACACCACCTTTTTGGGGGAAGGGGGGTTAGGTTCCAGATGGAGCGGCCTGTCATATATAGCTAGGATGCATATACACTTAGAGATTTTATAGAGGCCATGCCATCAGGGGGATTGTTGTCGGTTCTATCTTTTCCCCTTTCTTTTAGCCTCTTAACTTGATTATATGCACATGCTGCAGCTTACATAACCACGTTTATGTATGACTGCTGACAGGCATACATAAACAGACTCAAATTGATTAGACAACCCTTGGAGGATACAGATTGTAGAAAAGAATAAAAAGCTAAACATGCACTACAGTCTTGGCCTCACTTGGTTCCATCCAGATGGTGAGCTATGTGTGGCCCCAGCGCTGGACGGTGAATGTAACTCTGTATCTGTTCCATTTGTATGACAATGTATGGCTTGTAACATTTGATCATTTTTCGGCATTAAAGCCTGCTGTATATATAACCAACTCTCATTATTTCTCAAGGTAATTTACACTGAGGGGTTCTGGTCGGGTCCTGAAACTGGTAAACGGACCTGATGGAGCACAGAGACAAAAATGTATGAACTCCAACAATGGAGGGTTCTTTAGTTTTGACATAATAATGAACCCTCCATGACACAAAGAGAACTGAATTAATGAACTGAGAGTACATTTCTTTAATTAAACAAATGTTACAAAATGTCTTCATAACAATATGAAAAGTAACTGCTCTCCCTGCTGGCTCAATAAGATTTTACAATAGACTACTTGACATGACATTACATTACACAGGCTTCTGTGAAAAAATACAGTGAATGTTTTACAAACAGGACAGTAAAATATAATACAAGATCAGTGTACAACTTAGTCTAAAGAGAAAATGAAATGACCCCTACATGGCCAATGACCAGCTAGAAAACCTGCGTGATAATCTGACGGCCATCTTGTTCCCCATTGCAATGGGATCAAAGAGTTAGGTGGAGCCAGACACGAACAAGCCAGCAAAACTTTTAGAAATGTACAACAAACACCATCTTTTTCTGTATAAACTAACAGTAGCACCTTGATGTTCAAATGCCCCACAAACTGGACTCAGCAGTCCAATGCACAGAGTAAGAGAGTAGGACAGGCAGGCAATAAAAACACATGAAAATCAGCAGAGACTTATTTAAATGCAGCTTTATACTGCAGAAGTCAAATAATTGAACAAACTCAACAGAATTACTGTTTATGAAGCAGATGCTAGTTTCTCAGCACACCATAATGAGCAATAAAGAGTGATACAGTTCACCCAAGGAGGGAATGTAGTTAATAAAACAGGATATTAGGGATCAAATGGCTGTGCTACCTTTAAAGAGTTTAACCTGTTACTCCACAGCATCCAACTGAACAGTTTTTCTGCATTGTACATGCCTAAAAAAATGATTGTTGCAATTCTTACATGAAACCTAAAAACTTGAATCAAAATCCAAGAAAAATATCCCAGAGATTTTAAAATATCTTTTTTCATTGCTGGTTATATTTTTTATCATTATTATTTTAATAAAGTCTTACTTCATTTATCCAGAAGAGTCTCTATATGTTTCTTAATTCTGAAATATGTTGATACACTTTAAAATGCAATATATGCCATGAAAATATTTCTATCACAAAACTGAAGATGTGAGAGTGTTAAGATTAAGATTAAGACAACAAATATTACAAATGGAAGTTTCCAAACCATTTGGAACAAATAAAAAATGTTTTAAGCTCCTGGTCTGCAGTCAGTGTAAAGCCAGTCTTCTCCATAACTGTTTTAAAGCAGCTGTCTTTGTTCTGTTTTCAAAGGATAATATGCAATAGATCAGAGGTTTTCAATCCTCCTCCTGCATGGTGCTTCCCTGCGTACATGAATAAATGCCTGATTAACAAACTGGACAGAAGCTGAAAGGGAAATGCAACCATGTGTGTTGGAGTAAATACTCATGTAAAATATGGAGGACAGTGGGTCATGAGGACCAGGACTGAAAATCAAAGAACTGGAAGAAAATCTTTGAAAGGAAGTTTTTAGTTTTTTTTTTTTTTTTTTTTTACAATAAAGATTTTCACAATCCTGTAGAACTTTCAATAGACAGGCAGTCTGGTGTAATGAAGGCCAAGTCATTAATGGGTAACGGCTCCTCCTCTGGAGGCAGAGACAGACAAGTCCACTAAGCTCTGCCCATCAAGCAGAGGCTAGTAAACAGAGAATGAGCGTCATCCGTTTAATTGATAAATGTCATATTAGTTTTGAAATCTTTTAAAAATCTTTTAAAATATATGAAATAAAAAAAACTTATATTGTTTTATGTTTAGAAAAAAAAACTAGTGGCCAGATATTTGGGATCTGTGTTTTTAAATCCACCTCTATAGAGAGGAGGTTTCTAGTTCACATTTTGAGTGGCTAATGTGGCAGAGTGTGGGATTCTGGTCTGTTTTCTGTGAAAAGCAGCAACTCCAGAAGCTTCAGAAGTTTCTGGTAAATATCCAATTATTTCTCCAAAGGTCTGAACCTCACTGATTGTCACACACTAGACATGGAAACAGAAAGTTTGCTTAGAATGACAGGATTTCAGTCCGATTATTTCAAGGTTTAACAATTTTTGCAGTTACACATACTGTTCACAAGTTATTGGACAGAAATTACTTTTTAAATTCAGCTCTCCTCTGTTTTCTACCATTTTCAACAGAATTAAAACTAAAGGGCTGAAAGTGAAGTACAGGTTTAGAATAATATTTGGGGTATGTGTGCATTTCCCTCTCTGAAACATTTTAATAGCCACTAAAAGCAAAAGCTGAAATAAATTAGGAACAAGTTGATCTTGGATGGAAAATGCTCAGTTGGGGCCAGTTTAATGAAGCTTTTTTTTTTTCAGACTATAACCACTGATTTTACATTCCAGCACTAACCCAGTTTTCAAACATCTTACTTTATTCAGTGCCATTTGTTATGTATCCTTGAAGTAATGCTAGAGCCTGTGGCCCATTAACATTACTGTAAGAAGTCCTCTGCAATGCAAAAATGTCATCAGAACAAAACATTTTCGGACCTCACAGTCCAGCAAAGAGAACACAGTGTGGAAACAGGCAGCAGTCCGTGCAGATCCTGAAGAAGCCAGCTGCTGCTACATTGCCTGAAACTAGCTGCAAAGTTAAGGTGCTTTAAAGTACTTCAGTCCAACGGTGCTGCTGGTGTGTAAGACGGGCTGACCAGGTGTGAGGGTCTACTCCATGATGGCTCTGTAAATCACAGGCTCAATGTAGTCGCCCCTGTACCGGGAGTTGATCACTCTTTGTCTCTTAGATTCTTGGATGATCTCATTGTCTTCAAAAATTCCATCAAACCTCATATCTGATGCCTTAGACTGCCGAGAGAATAATAAGGGTTACATGGACTATTTAATAACAGCATTGTGTAATTATATGCCACAACATTGGTTTGTTAAATAAAGGTGAATTTGAACCCACCAGTCTGGATTTGACTCTCTTGGGAAGTTCTTCATCCAGAGTGTAGACATCATCTCTCTTGGCTGTTAGCTGTGAGCCATCTTCAAATTCCACCTGCGGTTTGGAACAACAGCACATATTAATATCTATTTTTTCACAATTGTGACATTTTGATTCATTTTATTTATGATAAATTATCACAAACTGCAAATAATTAATTAGTTAATCAACCAAAATCTCATATATGGCTAATAATAATCAAAGATGATTTTTTTCTTTACCACAAAACACTCCAAATTAATAATTTCAGCATCCACTGAACCTTAACTATATTGCTATAATAAGTTCATGTCTATGTGACATTTGGCAATTATTCATCTGAAAGAAAAAGTTCTTCTTTGGGGTTCCTCAAGGCTCAGTTTTCAAACTAATTTTGTTCAGTATCAGTATAATGTCTCAATCTCATATTACTTTGGATTCCTGTTTGGAAAAGGATAGATTTTAAAATCTTATTGGTCTTTAAGCCACTGAATGGAATCAAATCTTAATAATTTCAGAGCAATATGTTAAATTTAAACCATGTAGATTTCTCAGGTGATCAGTTTTGTTTACTCAGTGTTCTAAAAAATAAGTCTAAATCTAAAAACAAAAGTAGTAATTACTTTCTGTGTCCCTTATATATTGAATGATGATTCAATATATTCAATATATATGCAGTTCTTACTAGTAAGAACTGCATAATTTATTATCCATTTAGGGAGATGTCCCTAAATAGATAATAAATTATGCAGTTCTTACTAGTAAGAGCATAAAGTCAAAAATTATTTTGACACAAACTGCACAAAGAAAGAGAAAAATACTTACCAAGTACATTTGAATAATATGAGCTGCCACAAACTTGGCCCCGTAGACCAGCCCATCTGTCCAGCGCACCTGAACCGCTTCACCCTGCGGTGGAGGGCCAAGCTGAGCACAGTCTTGATTCTGCGCAAAGAAACACACACACAAACTGATCAGTCACCTTTGACACTTTCAAGTGACCTATACAGCATACCTCTAGCTTTTATAAAGAAGCTACATTTAGGCTAATCCAAAAAACTGTTCTGTCTAGTTTCTAGTTTCTAAAGCTCAAGACAATCTTGATGACTAAAATGAACAATGCCCTTTGCATTTCTGCTTACTATACTAGATGTTTTTAATGCAAATAAGACAAATAAGACATACCACAATGTCCTCCGGGAAGAGGTTATCACTGAAGGAGCCGTCATCAAAGTTGACTTCATAAAAGGTCTCTTTTGAGAGCTGAACTACATCACACTGATAGTAACGGCCATTCTTGTGCTTACAGATGACTTTCTGACCCACAGTAAGCTCATGCATTGCTGCCTTATTGCGCTGCAGTAGAAAAAGCCACAAATAGAATTATTAATGCATAATCATACTGAGTAGGATCCATTCTAAACTATAGATAGATAAAAACTAAACTCATGTTGAAGAGAGAAAAGATCATGTGCAGCAGTTTACCTCAATCTGAGCAGGACCTTTGTGCCGACAGCAGGTCACATGGACCACAAAGGGCCAATCATCTGGCTGCATCAGTACTCCAGCAGCCTGGGCGCAGGTAGGGTGGTATGCAGTGGGACAGCGGCCATGAGAGCACTGCACACAGCAGCCAGATGCCTTTTTCACGCGTTTCTTGCAGTAGTAACATTTCTGTGAAATGGAAACACAGCAGCCTGGGCTCAGCAAGCCGTTAAAAATAGCTAAAGAATAGGAAATATTCTGTCTTTACCCGTTGTCAAATGTTTGTCTTTACTGAGACACAGAGCTGTAAACATGTCTGAATGACACATCCTCTCTACTAAAGCTCACTGTTTTTTCACACCTGTTAGCTTGGGGGGGTTAGTGTACCGTTAGAAAGGTGAGGGTTGGGGGGAGTCGAAGGAGAGATGGTAGGGGGGGGAGCGGGACAGCCGGACAGATGGGGGCGGCTGGACGAACAGCGTATTGCAAGAAGGAGGGGGAGGTCTGACTGTACGCTAACCCCCTCTGCCCTCCAGATATGCTATTTTATCTATATAATTATAAGTAATTTCCACTATCAGTAATGTGTCTACCAGAGGATTCCTCTGGTCATTATCTTTCATTAGAGCCTCACTGATGACTGTATGTTGAAGCACTGAGGAGTTACAGCCATTTAAAGTTTGTATATCAGATGTTGTCCAAGTGTGCCATTTGGAGACTCCAAATGGAGACTCCAAATGGCACACATGGACAACACCTGTACATCCTCATAAATAAACATGTCCAAAATGACATTTCTTTTTTGTGCTATTTTTATCAGTCTTGAAATCCACGAGCAGAATACTTTATTCTACAGATTTATTGTATTTTCCAGTCCATACATTCAACACTCAACGTACATTTTACAAGAAATAAAAATGAAAAATCTGGGTGAAGCTAACTTTTTCTAAATTTTTTGTGTTACAAACATAATAGCTACAAACTACTGACAGTTAAAGTATTTTTGACTGCAAAAATAGAAAATTTAGCTCGTCATCTTCATAAAGAGACCAAGCTTTTGCATGCACTCCAAATTGTTCAAGAAGAGCAGCTGATTTAATTTGGGTATACCTTTTCAGTTGTTTTTGGTGATTTTGGGGGTGAGAGTTAAGGGGTTAATACAAAGTTGTTCCCTTTACTTACTACTTGCAGCTTCTGATGACACCATGTAAACTCACCAGTTTAAATCTCTGTAGAGGGATTCCACTCAGATCCACAGGACTTCTTTCAGCAATGTTGACAAAGCGCGCCTCCATTACTGCCACAGCACACAGCACATGTACCCACCTAAAAAACACACACTTTGTGATGTTATTTATTCCAACTGGTGCATTTACCAACATACATAAAAGGGCAGTATTATGTATACAGAACTTTGTGGGGTTATGAGTGGTGAGTATGGGGTATTTGGGTGATTTAATGACTATCCAAATCCCATGCCCAAAGTAAGAGCTGTGTCTGCATTCTCACCACAAAGTCAATCCTTTTTACCTTCTCTAGGTGGTTCAGGTATCTGATCCAGATGGCTCTTGGCTGCCCTTTTAGAGCTTTCAGTAACCCTGGGGAAGACTCCAGACTATGTTTTACATACAGCTTGGGTACGCCTCACCATACACAGGTCATATGTGAAACATGAGTGTGAAACATTGGTGTAAAAGTCCTGCCAGGGCTTTGAAGACAATTCTGTGGAGGTAGAATATCTTCACATCCAACCCATGAAAATCCCAACTTGAAATAATTTGGTCATATTTGTTGCTTTGCCTGGTCCAGACTTTGTATTCCAACTCACTGTAACTTTAGGTGCTAAAAATCTACTCATTTTGCCTCTGGCACAGATTAGGTGAAGTTAGCTAAATGTTGGCATTTACATGTTCTGGTTTATTTCCTCCACCCTCTCATGTTGTGCCTCCCCTGAAGAATTCTGGTGCCCCCAAGGGGAGACACGCCCCACACTTTGAAAAGCACTGTGTTCTAGATAACCCTGGAACTTACTTGTCATTGGTGGTTTTATGTAGGGCTCCACCTCTTAGCAAACACAGGCAGCAACTCTGCAAAAAGAACAAGTCTCATAAAAGGGTCCAGTCAAAAAATGTCACTTTTGGTTGGAACCAGTAAGCTTATTCTTTCTCTGCTGGCATTATTTTTAAGAACACGTTCTAGATCTGAAAACTTTGAGGTATTATTTACTCAGAGAAATGTTCAGATGGCACAGACAAGGTCTACTAATGTGTTATCTTGACAATCTTGATGTGAGATAAAACAATCTAAATTTCTTTGTGCATTTAAAAGAAATTTGAAAACCATTATGATGAGGCAATATGGCGTTTTTTGTGTTGTGTATTTTTTTGTTGGAATATGTCTCCAGTAGTATTCTCTGCTGACTAATTTTCTTTTTATGCGAATAAGGGTGAGATGTTAGAGGTTTATATTTTTCTCATCCTTTTCATTTATGACTTCTTTTAGGGGTTACATGAACTATTCATATTTATTATTGAGTGAATAAAATAAAGAACAAAATGAAATAAAATTATATTGCTCAAAAACTACGACTTTTTATTCAGACTGTACATATACAGCGCTTCATTTTACAGATTTCTTCCGTTTGTGTTTTGTCACTTAGATAATTAAGACAAAACAAAATTAGATACAAGATAAAAATGTTTAAAAAATCTACGATGATTTCCTTAATAAAGGGAAAAAGTTATCCAAATCTGACTGTTAAAAAGCAATTGCTTTCAGGCCCCTTCGTGTTAGACAGATTCTATTTACTGTAATGAAAAAAAAATCATCATTAAAAACAGATTTTTGTATTAATACAGTGCATCTTTGTCTGATGTTAAAATTTGTTTGGTGACCTAAAATGCCTAAGTGTAACAAAAGGCAAAAACTTAAAGATATTGTAAGGAAATCAATACTTTCTCATAGCACAAAAAAACAAAAGAATCCAAGAGGCATTCCCATGCTGAATTTATTTTTGTGTTATAACACCTCTCACAAGGTTACTCTCAGGAAGAACCAACTGTAACTAATTTTAATACCAACCTCATTCATAGCATTGGCTGTACATCGTGCACATTTCCACTCGCTGCTCACACTGGCTGGGTTCACACCGTAGCAGCCTAAAGGATGCACACACAAACACACAGGAAAGTAGGGATTATACAGCATCTATAGCTGAATCATTTAAGAGTTTAGAGCATGTAGAGCTATAAAACAAAGTTATTTTGTGTAGATGTGCAGCGTGCTGGTTTACTGACTGGTGTGAACCCAAACACTGCACTGTGAGCAGCAGACGAGAAGGCTGGTTCCATCTTCCTCTAAATAATGTGCAACAGGTTGTTCTTCACTTTCTGCGTCTTCTTCTGTGGTGATGGTGAAGCACATTTCTGGGATAAGAGGCTTGGTCTGCATCCTCCCACCAGCACCAGCGACATGACTGTCCACGCAGCTGGCACACTCTGCCTGTAAGCAGACACAGAAAGGAAGGAAAGACAGCCGTTTTTCTTTCCAACTTCTGACTACTTCAATTGGAGAAAAGTTTCCCCAATTTCAAAACTTTGGCTGAAGTGGCGCTTGTAATTCTAGCCTACAGTGCAGTAGCAGAGTGCGGATTCATCCTCCAGATAAACATCAAAACCATGACACATTTGATTCTCTATTCAGCTTGTTGAATATTAAACCAAATGAAAATGAAATACAATTGAATGACATTAATATAATTTAAAAAATCGATAAAAATAGACTGATTTTTTTGACCGCATCTGTCAAAATGAAGAACAATGAAAAAGTCTAGCACGATATCTGCCTGCTAAGCTGCCAGGTAAGCTACAGGAACTGTTCTGAAAATAGAAAAGCATTTATGATACACATTTGTGTATGTTACTGGTATGCATTACTTTAAAAGTAAAAAAACAAACAAAAAAACTCATTACAACGTAGACCCCTGCAAACAAGCGTGGCTGGCCTATATATGCAGGTTGCACTTGTGCAGTAGGTGCAGATTATATTCAGGTACAGTCAATAGTCTGGAAATTACAATATTTCATATCCCCAGACTGAAAACATTTCAAAAGAAATGTCTTAATGCAGTTATTGCCATGCTGAGAGCAATCAGAAAAATAAAGTCTGTCATTCTTATTTTGGTATGGAGAGAAAAAGAAATGCTTCAAAAGAATTGGAACAACTGTTCAGGTCTCTCTGATTGAGAGGAATACCTGTTGATATGTTTGGAAGAGCATACAGATGGAGCAGTATGGAGGCTTAGAGCCCATGCGTTGGTTGTACTCCCTTTCTTTCTTCAGATTAGGAGGGCTACTCTGCCACAAATGGGTCAGAGGTTTGGCCCAGCTGTCCCCTTCGACAGTACCTGCCTCCACTGGGGGAAGCTCCTCCAAAGCATCTATGGCAGAAAAACAAATGCATTCATTAGGTTTCAATATACATGTTGTTATGGATAGTGAGCTATTTAAAATAAATTGTCTAAATTATTTAAATTTGTAGACTATTTATTGTAAACTATTTAAAGTGAAATTTCTAAATTAAGAATGCTGCAGATTGTTTATGGATGTTTGTTTTGATTAGCTTTGTTGGTGGTTTGTATTTTTGTTTGCATTATATTTGCACTTTGTAATGTTTGGGGTTTCTTTGTATGTACCTCACGGGCTGCCGTAGCTAATGGGGGCAGGCCCTATAATAGCTGGCAAAATCATTGTACCAATGAATGACTTGAACAACTGTCAAAAGATGTGTTTGGCACAAATCAATGCTTAGTGTTCCCCAGTGAAAGAAGCAAGGTATGTTTTATTTTGTTGTTTGTGTTTAAAGTTTATGTTTTGTATTCTGATGACTGTATACGTTTTAGTTTTCATGGTGACTGATGACCCGCATCAAAGAAAATAAACAAAACCTTCAAAATCACCCGTCAGACTGCTTGAATTAGACCCCAAGACTAATTCAAGTCTTGGGGATCAGCTACACATGTGAACAAGAAAGATTAAAGGAAAACTTAATGTCAGGACAGACCTTTTTCACTGCTGTTATCTTTAATGTGGGGGGGGCGTGGCAGCTGGTCTGGATTACTTTCCAGCTCTGCATTAGGAGGCAACACTTCTGCCACTTGCTGGAGGTACAGAGAACACCAGCAGAATTAGAATGAAAAGTCACATGTTCTGCTAAAAGGTAAAAGGTAAACAGTATGAGCATGTACGTTCCAGAAGATCACAGAAAAGAAATGATTAAAACTGTCCATAATGATAATCATCAGATTTAGAGGGTATGAATTTTGCACATCTTAAAAAAACATGTTAACTTGTGTTTGGTCACATCTCAATACACGCAATACCAACTGAGTATTTTAACAACAAATATTGTTGCTATATATTGTTGATGTAGAAGTATATTAAGATAATACATTTATCAGAAACTACGGCACTACGACAGGTTAAAATACTTGAATTATCTGGATTGAGGTAGAATCAGATGCCAACATTACTCACTTCTCTGCTCACATGTTTGGTGTCTTCTTTTTTATCACTGCGTACAGCCTGTTCTTCCTCCTGCACCAGGATTTCTTCTCCATAGTCTCCTTTGGCATAGCTATGAACATGCAGGACGTCAGCAGGGCTGAGTGTTCTCTGAAACAGCTTGTGCACAGGGATGTTACTGGTTTCCACCCGAGGCTCCACACTGGCCTCTGCATTTCCTTCTACTGGCAGAAGAGGACTCATGTCTGCAGCCCGTCCACTGTTCTTGTCCTTTCTTGCAGAATTTTGTCTGCTTGAAGTTTTCTTGTTGGCTTTAAAACTCCATTTAGGTGGTGGTATTATGTGTTTCTCCAACTGACGTTCTGACTTGGGTTGTGCTGTTTTGAAAAGGAAACACTTTATTACAACTCTGTACACTGATTTAGTTAACTGATTTCCAAATTATAAGTTAATGATAAAGGTGCAGTTCAGAATACACATACATTACATATTTTGATTCATTGTCTCTAGAAATAACTTCACATCAAGGATAAAAATTTTAAAAATGCTCATCCTTCACTGGGATTTTATGTGGCAGCTCAGCACATAGTAAATAGTAAATGACTTGCACTTGTATATCATTTTATCATGTCCAGAGGAACACAAAGTGCTTTACACTACATTCAGTCATTCACACACACACACACTAATGGTGGTAGATGATGCACCAGCTAGAGTTGGTCTGACACTGAAGCCTGTGGTTATGGGGAAAACGGGAAGAAAGTTCAGGGAAGTAAATCCTGAACTACTTTTGAGGCGTCTTGGACAAGAATGCTAAACTTGAATGAATTAAACTTCAGAGAATGTATTACTATAAAGCAGTAGTATAGCAGGATAGCATGCAGATATTTTTATATCACCCAGTGCTGTCAATATTTCTAATTATACATATTAGAATGAATGTAGGATCCAAACAATGTGGAAAATTTTTCTTTTGATTTTATCTAAGAATAAGACAACCAGGTGAAAAGAGGCTAGACTTAAAGGCAAAAAAGTAGCAGAAAGCTTACCTGAGGCAGCTGGGACTTTGTTGGGAGAACTCTTCATTGATAGCTTGGGTCTCTCAGGCTCTACCGCCTCCTTGACTCTTACGTCACAACTGTCTTCTTCAGAGGTCTGGACAGGTTCAAGAGGATGTTTTTTCCCACTTTGAGGATCTGAGCTGAATCATTTAAAAATGTTAAGGACATGTTAAGGACAGTTTTTAATTTCACAAAAGATTTAAGATAACGCCAGCTGAGAAAACAAAATCAAGAATTACAGACAGATTCAAAAGAAATGCTCAGAGATTTTTACAAAGTGTCTAGGGGTTGACAAACTTATTTATTCATTTATTTAGCTCTGGTGGCCTTTATTCAAGTGACTCAGGCATCTGGTCAGGATGCATCCTGATCAGATGCCTCCTGGTCAGGATGCCGGGCACATCCTACCTGGAGGAGGCCCCGGGGAAGACCCAGGACACGCTGGAGGGACTATAGCCGTTTTCGCCCTGCAAGGAACGGAACGGCACGCTTCGGTCCGGTTCCACCCAAACTGCAGCCCTGTTGTGTTTGCATATAACTGAGGGCGGCATCGAAGCTGTACCTGACGTCATTATGTTTGAAACTAAACAATGGTTTCGACGTAGCGGCCGAAGCCTTTTCCTCAGAGATGCGGCGGAAAACTTTCTCTTTCCTCGTTGACCGATCTAGTTCGTTCTGTACTCGTTCATCAGCGAGTAAGCGGAGGAAAAACATTACCTCATCATGGGACCAGGTAACAGCAGAATATTGAGGGGAATTCATCGCAAATTAAAAAAAATAATAATAAAAATATTAAAAAGAGCACTCTTTACAAAATACAGTAAGAACAGTTTAGTGAAAGCCAGTTAGACCCGATCAACAAAACAACCAACGGCTGACTCGAAACCAATCAGCTGCTGAATTCTAAGCAGCCCTGCTTGGCCGGCCCGATTGGAACCACAGCTCTTGTGGTACCAAGGAGCCGGGTGGAACCGGGTCGGAAGTTCTAATGGAAACACGGTCGGCCCTACTTTGAACCCGTTCCGTTCCTTGCAGTGCGAAAACGACATTAGTCTCTCAGTTGGCCTGGGAACACCTTGGGGTTCCCCCGGAGGAGCTGGAACAAGTGGCTGGGGAGAGGGAAGTCTGGGCCTCCCTACTTCTGCTACCCCACGACCCAACCCCGGATAAGAGTAAGAGAAAGAGAGAGGGGATGTCAAAAGGAAAAATCCATGCAAAAAAATCTATTTTGTGTAATACAGCATGGCTCCACCAGTGTCCATGTCATATGTATGAAGGCACCAACAATATAGAGAAAAAATGTTTTAAAAATTAAAGACAGACAGAGGGATGGCCTGATGGCCTTTATTCAACAGTGAATTGACAGATGTGAGAGAGGGGGAAGACACACAAAAAAGGTCACCGAGCCGGTGGAGAGCACCCCCAGTCCCTGCTGCTGCGCCCCGTCTATTTTAGATATCAAGTAATGAATGGCAAACGATTCCCTTCAGCTAAGTCAGGCAACAAAACTGAAGTTTTAGTTTTGGGGACAAACAATGAGAGACAGAAAGTCAAAGCACAACTTCAAACATTGGTAACAAATCCTTTAGATCAGGTCAGAAACTAATCATATCTACATTAAACTTTAAGTTTCCCAACTAACAAGTTCATAAACTTGTAAAAGAGATTATGCTACTACTACTACAGGTTCTTCTGAACTGAACTGGAACATTGCTGGTGAGGACCAGACAGCAAGAACACATCACACCAATTTTAAAGTTTCTGCACTGGCTACCTACACATTTTGTTTTCTTATTTTAAGGAGCTTTAACAGATATTCAAAATTCTTAATGATCTCTATTTATCAGATGGGCTTCAGTTTAGAGTCCCTATAGGCCCCTCAGGTCTTCTGTTGATGCCTACAGTGAGAAATATAATGTGAGGCTTTGTGCTATTGCCACAATAAATATGTAATCCAGCATTCTTGTTGTGCATAGCATTATTACATTTGGACTTATAAGCTAGAGGTTTGGCTAGTAGGTCAGCAGTTACACAAAAGATGTGTTTTTGCTATCCACAAGAATACCTGAGAGCAATTTATCTATTTATTTTTTAACATTTTGCATCCCTTAAAACACCATTGTCATGTGGATGCAGGGCACAAACAATGAAAAACTTTCCCATTTTAGAAAAATATGTCCCCATGTGGACAGGTACTTAGAACCTGTTTAAACCTGACATTAACATCTATTTTGAATTATTTGAACAAAGGTTCATCCTTTTGACATACAAGTGGAGGCCAGTGTTCAAAAGAAGCTCATTGTTTTCTGATATGACCAGATGTGTCAATTTTTTAACTTTTGAAAAAGATTAACTTTTTCATATTTCATAACAACTACGAAAGACTTGTTAACATTCCCATCTGTAATAAAATAGTCACAGAATAGTGAAGAGAGAGAGAATAGAATAAATCAAGACCTTTTGTCCTGTGCAGGAGACGTTGGCTCCTCAGATGACGCTTCACTGGAAATCTTCTTACATCGATTGGTCTTTTCTTTTTTGAGAAACTCAGCAGCCTCTGGAGTTGGTTTCAAGTGGTCAATGGGAGTGTCATCTTTCCCTGCTTTCCACAGTTTGTAACGGTCAGGCTGAAACTTGTGCACAAATGCATCCATAGATATCTTCACCATATCTTGACGGCAAGAACACTGCAGAAATCAACATGAAACATTTTGTAGGTTCAACAGCTAAAACTAGCCAGTTGAGGTCTCTGCCATTATTAGATGTAGTGTGTGTTCTCACGAATGTGAGACTGTGAAGACAAGACGGGTTCTTGTTAGGGTTAGTGCTTTAGTAAGAGGTTTAGAGTAGTCTGTATTGCTGAAATTGGTCATTTTGATCTTGAAATTAAATCTTTTCCAAGTTTCCACACTCATATATAATTTAGTGGTGCAGGGGTGTTTGCCTTGCCACCTTGGTGGCCAAGGGTGTGGGTTTGGGGTATGGGCGCAAATTCCACTCACAAATTTGTTGTGAGTTGAATTTTGTGATCTTGTAGCATGAAATGGCTGATAATTTTATCTTTGTGCAATCATAGATAAGAACCTTTGTGTGTGAAAAATATTGAAAAATTACACAAGTTAAACATTTTTAAGGTCTTTTTACAAACACAAAGCAAAAATCTACATATAAAACTCTCCATTTCCGTCGCTTGTGTGTGAGTTTTAACCTCCAAGTACAAATTTTGATCAGGGTTTTGTCTCTTTCAGTTGACTGGTCAATGACAAATGTAACAAAACATTCAGATTACAGATGGGCTTAGCTGTAGTGGGATCTGATAGGCCAAGTCAGACATCCGACTCCATCCTCAAACCGCTTTGATTGGATAATCCTTTTTTTTTTTGGCTCCAAATGTCCGATTTTACTCCCATAGTGGTTTTACGCCTGCTTTGAAGTTAGTTTTAAGTTAGTTATGTGACATTTGCATGACTACTTAGCATAGGCTTCTTAGACACACTGTACGTTTGGTGGACTGAATTGTTCATAGCCCCAACACACTATTAAGCAGCAAATAAAAAAAAAACACACACAATGAGCTTTATCAGATCTAAGGTGCTTGTTAAAAGATGGCTTGTGTGAACAAAGGTACATTCACCTCTAACTGAGGTTTTCTAGTATGTTAAAAGCAGAATGCCCAACGTTATTGTATTAGTTAAAGGCTCAGATGTATAAATGTCTAATTTAAATCCTATTGTATATAAGATTAGGCCTGTTACGATAACAAATTTTGCTGAGCAATTGTCTAAAAAATTATTGTGATAAACGATAATATTGTTTC